CAGGATGGACAGGATTAGGAATGAGCACATCAGAGGGACAGCTCAGGTCGGCTGTTTTGGGGACAAGGTCAGAGAGGCCAGATTGAGATGGTTTGGACATGTGCAGAGGAGGAATAGTGGTAATATTGGTAGAAGGATGTTGGAGATGGAGCTGCCAGGCAAGAGGTCAAGATGAAGGCCAAAGAGGAGATATATGGATGTGCTAAAAGAGGACATGAAGTTAATTGGTGTGAGAGTAGAGGATGCTGAGGATAGAGGTGGAAACAGATGATTCGCTGTGGTGACCCCTAACGGGAACAGCCGAAAGAGAAGAAGAAGAAGATCCACACCACCCAGCTCACTCTCTACTCAGACACAAAAACTGCACCTACAGTTTCAGGCACAGCAGGGTGGACAGTATCATCACACACAGAACTCAACTTTACAACAGCTTTTTCCCTGCCGCAGTAAGACTGATGGCAAATACGAAAATGTGAGAATATACTGTATGTGCAATAACCCCTTACTAGACATGCACAAAAATAATACACAAATGTTCCACAAGGTATTTTTGAAAGAGCATCCCATCAACAGTGTTCTCTTATGGGACCTGAATAATAGCAGGACATTCTCTACCAAGCAATGGAAACAGGCCTGAATATAAACTGTGTTTTAATATGTTATAACCCCTCACTACCTCACTAAGCGTGATGACATATCCAACTCCACCATGTGAATTACTGAGTGTGACGTTTGAAGTTCACTGGGAAAATACTATTACCCTATTTTTGTGTATTGTGGTTTTAATGCTTTCCTGCCTTTATGTACTTTTTTATTTTAAGACTAAGTGTTCTTTCTGGCTTTTGACTCCTTACCTGACTCCAAAGGAGAGCTGCACAAGAATTCCTATATGCCTAGACTGTCTGTCTATGCATAAATGGCAAATAAAAATCTTGAATCTAATATTTGTCCTAGCCAAATTCAGTTTTATTCATAGATGACTCCCTTGTTCTCCTCATTAGATTTAAACAAATGTGAAGTAACTAAATAATGTAGGCTAGACTTTATATTTTGTTGGACATGTCTTTGTAGGCCATCAATAGATCACATTTTGATATTTCTGTTAAATGGCTGTGTGTAGCCTATAGGCTGTTGCAGCTAAAATATCTGAAATAAGATGCATGATTCTTGTAAAGGCCCACAGCCTACAAAATAATATAAAATGAGCTGTGTTAATCCAGTCATGTGTAACATTATAAAAATATAATTTAGCCCATTTATTGATAATTGGCTGTAGTGGTAGGAACAGAGTCCATTATCACCTGCTTATAGCTTTTAGGTGTATGTACAGATATGTAGGCTACATATCTCGGCCCATAGGCTAGGCAATTATGAAAGCGTTTGTAGATATGCCAAAGTTGTAGTCTATTAAAGCCAGATTTACATTTTGTTCAGATATTTTACAATATACATAAACAGAAATATGATGACAGAATATATCCTATTTGTTAAACAGGGGATATACAAAGATAGCATTCAACAATAAATATTTAAAACTCTAGCCTTGATAATTATTCACCTGTTGGCAACTGAGGTAACTGCTGTTTAAGATACTACTTTATGAAAATAAGCTATTTGTTGCAAGAATATTACAGAGTGCACCAAAATGAAGGCTGTTGAGAGGCAGGACTGACTGCATCATTGCACAGTTGGACTCAGAAACAAGTGCGGAGGGAGAGGGCCCAGTCCTGGGAAGTCACAGTATGCTTTGGTAATAGATTAGGCTACTCCCTTATTCTTACCATTAGGTTTCAACAAACGGATGCGACCACAAACGAAGCACTCCAGTTCTTTGGGAGTGGCCCGAGACCACGTCCACCAAAGGGTCTCAGTGTGGTTGTGTTGGTTCAGACCCCCCTACACAAACCGTACCATGGGGGTACATACAGTATTGTTCAAAATAATAGCAGTACAATGTGACTAACCAGAATAATCCAGGTTTTTAGTATATTTTTTATTGCTACATGGCAAACAAGTTACCAGTAGGTGCAGTAGATTCTCAGAAAGCAAACAAGACCCAGCATTCATGATATGCACGCTCTTAAGGCTGTGCAATTGGGCAATTAGTTGAAAGGGGTGTGTTCAAAAAAATAGCAGTGTCTGCCGTTGACTGCAAAAAATTATAGGCTGTTCAGCTAAAATGATCTCCAATGCCTTAAAATGGAGAGCAAAACCAGAGAGACGTGGAAGAAAACGGAAGACAACCATCAAAATGGATCGAAGAATAACCAGAATGGCAAAGGCCCAGCCAATGATCAGCTCCAGGATGATCAAAGACAGTCTGGAGTTACCTGTAAGTACTGTGACAGTTAGAAGACGTCTGTGTGAAGCTAATCTATTTTCAAGAATCCCCCGCAAAGTCCCTCTGTTAAAAAAAAGGCACGTGCAGAAGAGGTTACAATTTGCCAAAGAACACGTCAACTGGCCTAAAGAGAAATGGAGGAACATTTTGTGGACTGATGAGAGTAAAATTGTTCTTTTTGGGTCCAAGGGCTACAGACAGTTTGTGAGACGACCCCCAAACTCTGAATTCAAGCCACAGTACACAGTGAAGACAGTGAAGCATGGTGGTGCAAGCATCATGATATGGGCATGTTTCTCCTACTATGGTGTTGGGCCTATTTATCGCATACCAGGGATCATGGATCAGTTTGCATATGTCAAAATACTTGAAGAGGTCATGTTGCCTTATGCTGAAGAGGACATGCCCTTGAAATGGTTGTTTCAACAAGACAATGACCCCAAACACACTAGTAAACGAGCAAAGTCTTGGTTCCAAACCAACAAAATTAATGTTATGGAGTGGCCAGCCCAATCCCCGGACCTTAATCCAATCGAGAACTTGTGGGGTGATATCAAAAATGCTGTTTCTGAAGCAAAACCAAGAAATGTAAATGAATTGTGGAATGTTGTTAAAGAATCATGGAGTGTAATAACAGCTGAAAGGTGCCACAAGTTGGTTGACTCCATGCCACACAGATGTGAAGCAGTTATAACAAACTGTGGTCATACAACTAAATATTAGTTTAGTGATTCACAGGATTGCTAAATCCTAGAAACAAAAACGTTTGTACAACATAGTTTTGTGTTTGTACAGTCAACGGCAGACACTGCTATTTTTTTGAACACACCCCTTTCAACTAATTGCCCAATTTCACAGCCTTAAGAGCGTGCATATCATGAATGCTGGGTCTTGTTTGCTTTCTGAGAATCTACTGCACCTACTGGTAACTTGTTTGCCATGTAGCAATAAAAAATATACTAAAAACCTGGATTATTCTGGTTAGTCACATTGTACTGCTATTATTTTGAACAATACTGTATGAGAGTTGGATTCAACCAGCCTAAACAGTGCAGGTGTGATAGTGCCCTTAAAAAGTCCTGAAAGCGGAACCCCAACTCTTACTGCTGTGTTGTAACTTTCCAGCTCTGACTTGTTCACCAAATTTCTGTCATTAAATATTAAACTCTGTCTATTGTCTGTCTGTAGATTATCGTGTGGGGCGACTATGGTCGGATGGACCATAAATCCTTCATGGGTGCTGTTCAGATTCTATTGGATGATCTGGACCTATCTAACATGGTGATTGGCTGGTTTAAACTGTTTCCTGCCACCTCATTGGTGGACCCTGCCTTGGCCCCATTGACCAATAAGGAGACAGAGGGCAGTAAGTCCTAGAGGCAGGACTGACTGCATCATAGTAGCCACAAGTGGGACAAGTTGTTGCTGAGCTGGGCCTAAAGAAAGAAGTCCCATGACCCTCCTCTGCTTCTGCAAGATGACATCACAGGGTAATACAAGTGCCACACTGATGTCAGTGGAAGTAGGAGGGAAGCTCCACCCACTGACACGAGAACCTATCCTTGTGCGGAGGGTGAAACTACAAAACAAAGAAGGGGTCATGTGACTTCCAGCTGCCAGCTCATCATAGCAGGTCTTTAGGAGTCATGCGACTGTTACAGGCCTATACAGTCACCTGGTGTTTTTTCAGGAATGCGGAGGTCTAGTTGTCTGCACTGAACAATGAAGTTCTCTGTGAAAAACAAACATTGTTTGAAAAAAATAAATATTTCCAACGCTCAGTGGTTCTTGGAAGACCCATTCTTTATGCCTGAGATTCTGTCAGGTTCCACTGTCACTGATACAAGTCTCATTCTATAAGGTTCAGCTAACTACTGACACACATCCAGGTCTATAAAGGTTGTGCTGGTATCAGTGCCCTGACTCTGGTACCAAAAGGCTCTGCTAGGTAGGCCAGCTTCTCCATTTTTATGAGATTCTACCAGTATTGCTGGCATAGTTCTTTAAGGTTCTATTAGTGACACAACTCTAGGCATAAACTGTAAGATGCTAATGTTTCCAGTAACAAATTCCAGTTCTAAAGGGCTCTACTGGTACTATTATTATGGAAACAAACACAGACCCTGTGACGAGCGTTACTTGGCACAATAATTTGGTAGGTTCCTATAGGGAAAAACCCCTTTGTAGGTCTACAGGGCTCTGCCAATGTTACTGGTATGATGCAGCAGGTCGACGTTCTGCTGGTATCTTGGACACAACGGCTGTTATGGATAGCAAAATTCACACCTGCAGCCATGAATTGTTGTAGTAGCGTGTCTTCAGTGTTCAGGTTTGAAAAACATTAGAAACTATAAAGTATAAACAGTCAATTGACTGAAATGTGAACCTTTAATCTTTAGTGCAGTTTTAACTTTACAGACTTGAACAAAAACTAACACCAAACTTGAATCATGCAGGTCATTAAAACAGATACAGAAAATTAACACAATAATGATAATAACAACAACCATAGTCCTAATAATAATTATAATAAATATGCAGAGTCACACTCAGGGTCAGCAGAGGTCTGAGTACTAAAAACTGTAACAAATATAATAAATACAGACGGGTCAGTGTGAATGGATTTGGTCGGGGGAGGAGTGCGCAGCTGTCACATCCGTCACAAAACCAGATGTTTACAATGCAGACCTCTGACTGCAGATCTGTCCAGACACAGAACTGAACCTTAACACTTGGTGATCAGATCCTGATCTGTCCTCTAACACTGACTTAACTCTAAACCTTAGACATGATCACTGTCCTAGCCCTGAACAGATGCCTCCATGGTCTGTAAGTATCTAACCACTATTCATGATCTTTCACATAAAAAGGCATGTCCACTGTCTTTTCGGGTCTATAAGTTTTCTTCGATTGCTGTAGGATCATCAGATCTTCAACCTACAGAAGGATCGCTGGCTCTATAACGCTAACAGCTCTTAAACCCCGTCTGTCTTTGAGAACACACTGGTCTAGAACCAGTCACTAACTCAAATGGGGCAAACCTCAAACACAAACACCAGGACGGAACCAGAACCATGCTCAGTGCTGAACTGTAGCTGCCTGCGAGACGAGCAGCAGGGAAGAAGAACACAACACTCCAGGGACCGCTATGACATTTGTCACGAGAGTCACATGACTGACTCAGGCTGGACTACCTGGTTAGTTGTCATCAAGGTGCTGCCTGTGAGTTAGTGGTGTGTTGTTTTTTTTTACAACATACAAGTATTACTGAATTTAGTTTTGTGGTGCTTTACTTCATTTTCAAGATCAACACACATGAAAATGTGTAAAACAACATTGCTTGCTGCTGCACATGATTATTCATTTGGAGACTCAACAATTGGGCGTGTATATATCAACTAGATTTGTCTGCCTTATCAAGCTACACTTCAGCGGTGTGTGTATTTCTCTCTCTCTCTATATATACACATACACGTGTGTGTGTATATGTAATGCTGTATACGTATATAAAGTATATTGTAAATATACTTGTAGTCAAAGTAAACGGTGTATCTATTAGTGCAACTCAAGGCTAACATGGTTGAAAGCTAAAAAAAAAAAAAAGCATCTCTGAATTCACATTATTCTGCCATATAAACCGTTTACCTAACATAGCCTTATTAAGAACCGACTTCCCTAGGAACACTACCAAAAATTTGCGTGCTAGCAGCTATCTTTGGCCAACTCCACTGGTCAAATGACTCTCATGATTCATAGCGGTCCCTCAACAGACTCAACAAACAGCAGGAGGAAATGAAGGGACCATTTAAACTGCTGCATCCGGCCAGCAACAAAATACCCATGGTTTGAAGGCAGAAAAGGTTCCTAGCTCAGATCAGAAATCAGTAGTCTCGTCAACAGGGAACCATCAGTTTGTTCTGTCAGGATTCAGTCTAGAGTCGTACCAATGAGCAGGAAGTCAGTGTTCATGAAGTCGTACCAACAAGCTGGATATCCACCTGCAAGGAAGGGAGCATTTTAACAGATGGACAGGAATGACGGGGAGACTTTTCATGGTCGTACCAACATCAGAATCCAATCCGTCCCCTAAGTCTGATTGGTCGAGTGATCACTTGATGCCAAAACCAGGTGAGGGCTAACCTTTAGTCCAGCTAACATGCTAACAGGAGTTAGATTTTGGCTAGGTGTAGTTCAGTCTGTATATTGGTTAGCTCTCTGAACCCCTGAGTGCAGGGTCAGGACAGTGTTAGCCAGCCAGTTAGCATGTTAGCTAACTGAGGTGTAACAGGGTAATTTTTAGAAGAGTAGCATGTTGGCTAATGGTGGGTGTAGTATTTGAACTATTAGCCTGGCGAGTTAGCATATTAGCAGAGCAGCAGGAGCTCATCGTCGCTGCTCTCCATCTTGCCTGTGGCCTCTAGACAGGTGTCGGGGATCTGAGCTGTGTGAACCATCCCACAGTGTTCACATGGGCCGTCTTGCCCTGCCTGACCAGCATTTTTATGATGATGATGGGGGGTATGTCTTGCCATGGTGGTGGGGTGTGGCTCCAGTAGCGGTTGTTGTACATCACTGACCAATAGGCACGAGGAGGAAGAGTCAGAGTCAGACACAGGGATCAGAAGCTCCACATCTTCTTCTTCTTCTTCTTCTTCTCCTTCTCTGCTCCCTCGTTGCTCACCAACCTCAGCCCCGCCTCTTCCTGCCTCCAGCTGGCGAAGTGGGCTGTGATTTGTCCAGGTCTGATGGTTCTGCGTGGTTCTGGTCAGGTTCTTGGCCAGGCGCTGCAGGTTATGAGCGAGGCGCTGCAGGGTGGAGGTGGGCAGGGCCTGGAGTGCTGGGATATGGCTATGACATTCAGGGCGTGGACTGGATGTTACCACAGTGATGGGGCTAGGAGGGGGTGGGGCCTCTCTGGGGTGGTCATGACCTCTGTTTCTGCCTGACATTGGGGTCATAGAGGTTGCCGATGTCACGGATACCAAAGCCTCCACGACAGTAGAAGGTGCAGTCTTCTGGGGGAGGGAAGCAATGGGTCCACCCACCGCACCCACGCCTCGCTCCCTCCCTCTGTCGCCCTCAGTGTCCGTGTCATCTGAGTCTGGAGACAGCATGTCTGAACCAGAACTCCCGTTGCTCCCATTTACAGCACTGTCCTCCAGGTCAGCAGAGATCAGGGCCAAAGAACCAGACCGTCGCGACCGTGAGAGGGTGAAGAGTCGACGCCACAGGTTACCATGGCGACCAGAGGAGGGAAGTCTGAGGGAGGTGAAGCCAAGTTGAGAGCGAACAGCCAGACGGAGGTTTTCCAGGACAGATGCCTGTGGACAGACGGTAGAACATAAAGTCACCAGCAATGTTTCTACTCCTTGTTTAAAGAGCACATGGTGCTTTTCTTTGTTTTCTGACTTATCTACAATGTCACAACAGTGAATTATGTTCACCTCTTAAAAATGAGATGAACATATGTTCTAGTATTTCTATGCAGAAGCACCTCAGTTTAAACATGTTTTGCAAACTCTCACTCAAGACTTTTTTTTTTACATAATAGTTTAAGGATTTCCTTGAATGGTCATAATCTCCAGGCCATTCATGTGAGCTTGCCTGACATCCACCGCTGCCACGGTAGAAGCAGCGTTTCCTAATGTACCTGGTTTTGTGGATATACCGTATTTTCCCTCCTGCTACTGCACTGTGGCCAGAGGATGTGGAGAAAAATACAGGGCCTGGGGTTACTGCATGTCGGGGAATGTTCCTGATGATGATGTCCACAAGCTCATTTAGAGCAACAATTGCATTAGTTTGCTTTTAAGTAGATGATATAGAGTAGCGCTTTGTATATGTATGCCAAGTCGAATTCATGGCTATGGAACAGAAGTGAGGTCACTGCCTTTGACTACCAAAATCTAAGTAGGTCATCTTTGAGTCCAAGTGGGCACGTTCCAAATTTGAAGAAATTCCCTCTATGCATTCCTGGATTATCGCATTCACAAAATGGGCCATCGCTAGTGTGGAGGCATAAAAACAGCCAATTTGTGCTCACCAGGGAATCACCAGGATTGTCGCTCAGTGTGTCTGAGGACATTCAAGTGAATTCAAATCTTGTCCAGGCTGTGCTGCAGTGAGACAGGATGGTGTAATCTGTATGTGTGAACGGGGATGAGGTGTTGTGGCATCACTGAATAGTTCACTTGTAGTTAGATGGCTTCTTTAAGAGCTCGCTACATTTAAAAAAAAAAACTAAAAAGGAAATGGTGAATGAGAGCTGCTACAGAGGACTGAATGTACCAACCCTCTCTTTGTTGGTTTTCCTGTGAGTTTTGTCTTTTATGTCTAAAAAATAATATTAAAAAGGGCTGCTGGTCCTAGCTATATATTGTACAGATTATACAGAGTCATAGAGGTCTCTAGCTTTAAGTAATCTGTTTTTATCCCTATTTATCTAATTTCAATGAACATTCCTTTGTGGTCTGCATTGTTTACTGTCTGTTTATACTGCTTATTCTGCATTGTTTGCACTGTTTGTTGATGTTAATACTGCTATTTTGTTATATATCTTATGCTGGTTACTGTTTTGCACAGAGAGCCGATGTACCTGAGTCAAATTCCTTGTGTGTCCGTCACACCTGGCCAGTAAAGCTGATTCTGATTCTGCCATATGCACAGTTAGGAAATGTGTTTCCCTGTACAATTAAATTCTTACTTTGCCGTCCACACGAATGCCACACAATACAAGTGAAATATAAAGTAGATGAGCAATAACAATTTTAGATAGGCAGTAACACAACTCTAAGGCAATAAAAATACAACAAGAACACAATATAATGGAGAGAGAATATATGCTACGTGGGAGCTGTGAAGTGCAAATACTCAGCAGCGACTGTGCAATTATACTGTGTTTCAGTCAGAAATGTGGAGAAATGCCCATTTGTCAGACACCCGGCTCACTAATAACAGACACTCGAAAAAGAGAATGTATCTCTCCACTGTAGAAATTAGTCCCAGGACTAAAGATAGCACGAGAGTTATTTGGACTGAAACCATTAGACTCATCCTTTAAGTCTACAGACAGACACATTCTCTGTACCTGGTTCCCAGAGCACACTGGGAAATCCTCCACAGGTGGGATCAGTCCCTGGGCAATCAGCTGACCATAAGAGGGTGGAGCTTCCCTCCTCAGTAGCTCCGCCTCCACTCTGGACAGCTGGGTTTCAAATGACCTGCAACCACCAAGCACAGATCTCAAATCACTGAGAAACAGTTATGAGTCAAAGGCATCTGAGCAGACACAGGTGCCCCTCTGTCATCACCTGCGTTCGAACATGCGCAGTGAGTAGAGTTTACAGGTGCAGCCGAGGGCGATGACCAACAGGAGGCCACAGATTAGGCTGCCGATGACTGCGGCGGTGATGACTCTGGTGGGAACAATAACGGGACAACTCTCCTCATCGCTGCCATCACCGCAATCGTCCTGAGCGTCGCAAACCCATGACTCAAACACACAGCGATTATTCTGCAGAGGACAAACACAACAGAGGTCAGAGGTCACACTCAGCAGTTATTTTGCAGAGAGAAATGACTGAAATATGGAGTTAGGCAGGTTCTTAGTTCAGGGACTGCTTTGTGTTCTGGTTTGCATTGTTGGTCTTAATTTTGGCTTCTTGTGTGCCTTGTTTTGTTCTGGTCTTTGTTGATACCTTGCAGTGGAAGTTCCCAGGCTGACAGAAGAAGCAGTTTTTCTCATCCGAACCATTGGGGCAGCGGTTCTGGTAGTTGCAGCGGTCCGATCGAGGGTAACAGGCTCCATTTCTGGAGCAGGGGAACTCGTCTTCCTGACACGAAGAACAGTTCAGCTCGTCGCGACCATTTGGACAGTGCCAGTACCCGTCACAGCGCTGCTGCTCAGTGTAACAGCCCCAGTTCCCCCCACAAGGAATCTCCCAGGGAAGGCAGAACCCATCCACCTAAAAATACATGAAGAACCACAAGAACATGTTACATAGAACCTGCCAACCTTATTATACAGAGAGAACTAGGTCGGCCTGAAACCGCTGGTTTAAAAAAAATACATAACCATAGTCACAGGTAGAACAGAAGCTGTTCTCCTTAGGAACCACAGAAACAGGTTAACCACATTAGCCAAATCAAGCACACCTGGTAGGTGACATTGAACCCTCTGGCAGCATTGATCTTGTCAGCATAGAAGTGGACTCGGAGTTGACCAGATGATGAAACCACAGCGACCGGCGCCCTGGAGTCAAAGGCGGTCAGTACCCTCAGAAGACGCCGAGGGTTCTCCTCCAGGCCGTCATAGACCTTCACATAATCGCCATAACCTGTCCCATCGAGCTTAAAGTCTGTAAACCTCAAAATGACCTGCAGAGAATGGAAGGAGGGCAAGATCCAGATGTGACTTTAACTCCACTGGGAGTTTAGGGAGCAACTGGTAGGAAAACATAATCAAGCCTCTGCCAGCTCAGCTTGCTGTTGTGAGGTCAGAGGTTACCTTTCTGTGGTCTCCAGTGTCGATCAGCCAGGTGCAGTTACTTCCTGGAGGGTAGAAGTCAGGGTAGTTTGGTGAGCTGAAGGAGCCGTAGAAGTTCCTCAACCATTCACCACAGGTGGGAACGTCACAGTCGATCTCATCACCAAGGTCCTGGAAAAACCACATATACCCAACTGCAACAAACGTGTTGATCATGTTGAAACTGTTACCAGTGGGGCTTAGCAAAACCGTTTTCAACAAGGAGGAGAGCCTCCGACCCAGACAGAGAATGTTGTTGGACAGCAGAGGGAAACTTAGGAAACCATAACCTGACTGACACATCCTCAGAGGAAGACTACAGTATCTTGGACCATTTCTGTGACAGAGGTCACTGACCTAATCAGACACCTCTGGGGATGTGATTCACCGTGAGACTAAAGGCTCTGGAACTGGGGTATGTATCTCTCCCTCTCACATGATTTGATGTATGGATGATCCACGAGTCAATACAAAAACAGTACAGCAAAATATTTAACAGTATGATACGGTGCAAATCAGAGCGACTGAGTTGATTCAGCTGATATTCTGTTTTACTATGCAGTCCTGGAGTGACATGTGCAGGTTGGTACTCAGGGGAAAATGAGGAACGATGTCTTTATTTTAGATTATGCTAAGTAAGAACTTGCGTTATATTTAATAAGAGAAGGATGAGAGCCTCAGTCTCCTGCTTGTAGACTCTAGCAGTGTGACAACCAGTCCACCTTTAGGTAAAGCTACGTTCATGGTTCAGAAAACTCTGATTTATTAATGTACTAGTCACTGAATGATAAAATAAATGTATTAATTTCTTCATTTTTAAACTGAGCTTCCACAGCTTCTGCAGCCGCAGGAGAGCCCCACTGAAGAGCAAACACAGCACAAGGAAAAACGAGTGAAGACAGAGTTGAGTGCCACAGAGCAGAGGAAGAAAAAAAAAATCAACTACAACACTTCAGTTCAGCAGATTAGCCATGGTTTAGGTTTGACAGTTCACAGTGTAGTTAGTGTCAGGTCTATAATCACAATGGACATAAAACAATGACGTAACACAATGTTTACCACTGTGCAAGGTGGGGACGGCATGATGCGAACTATACAAGTAACAACGTTGATTCACATGGAAAAATTATCGTCAAAAAGATCTTGAAATGGTCCAATGTTTTGATGGCCTTATTTCTGAATGAATCCATCCATTTCCTCTGGCATTCGTCGTGATACACACAGTGGCAGACAACAATTAGCAGGAACCATTTTAACCATTCTTTTTGATGATAATTTTTCCATGCAAATCAACATTGTTACTTGCCACTGTTTGTAGTGATAGCGCTGTTAAATCATCCCCACCTTTCACCCACAAATTACCGCGGTAAACACTGCGTTATGTCAGTATGTCTTGGGTCCATTAAAATAGTGAGTTGTGGTTAGAAAAAACTAGATTAATAAATTTTACAGTTTGTTTGATAAAATAATTTAAAGTAAAAATACTTCTTTATAAGCTAGCAAACTGAAGTGTCTTGAGTTTCTTGTAGAATTCCTATTCCTAGTCCCTGCAAATTAAACAGCTTCAGTTATTGACTTCAGATGGGTGGCATTATTAGCTAATGTGCTCTGAAAGTAGCTGGTAAGACTAGCAATGTTACCTGTGTCAAGCCAACTACTAACTCATGATTTTCCATTTACTCTACAGAATTTTGTGGAATTACAAAAGGGTTATGACTTCAGATGCACTGATGCAATTTTCTTGGCTGATTCCGATTTTCTTTCTAAGAACTGTAAGTGACAGCATACGCAGACATGTTTGTAACTTTAATGAAAATTTAAATTGTAATAAAAATAAAACATGGGATTTAAGTTTTACACTTCTAGCTGTATCTCTCTTTTTTGTAGGCTCCCCTGTGTGCTTTTTGTGCACCAAGTGCATCCAATGTGCGAGTGAACACGCCTGCTACCGACAACAGCTTCAGCCTCGCTCGATGTGCACACAAGATGCTACGCGCTGCACACGCTACACTTTTTGGTCTGTGCCGCTGCATGTGCAACGTGAAAATAGGGCACCTCGTTGTGATTGGCCAGGCACCGGTCAAGGCTGAAAACTTGTCATTTCTGATCTCCACCAATAAATCGGTGCATTTCTAGTTATGATCATTGGTGCATCTTGTGAGGATACTGCAGGAGTATGGGGTGCCAGGGTTGTTACTACGAATCCTTGTGTAACCAGAGTGTGACCCGTGTTCACACTCGTGGCAGAAACTGTCAGCAAGTGTCTAACTCAGGGCTGTGTGTCATCATAGATTCTGTGTTTGATTTTAACAAATAAAATGTGAAGGCCTGGCTGAGGTTTGGAGAGTCTCACTGTGATGATCTATGGGGGTGATTTTTAAGTGTGAAGCATTAGGGATGAGGGACAACAGAAATGACTGCAGCCATGCAGTGGTAGACTATCCCAAGTGAAAAGGTTAAAGTATCCCGAGGCTTTGTGCAACTGAGTATTTTCATAGTCCACCGATTCTGTCACCAATTTATTGTTTGAAAAAGATAAATATCAAACTACTACAGTCTGACTATGACTAACAGAATTTAAGCAGTGCTGTAACTAGGTCATGTTTGGTGGTGGACCAGGTAAAGGTGACTGAGCTGGTTTGTTACCTGGCAGTCGATGCTGCCATCACATCGCAGGCTGTGCGGAAGGCAGGTGTAGATTCGGGTGTAGCGGGACAGGCATGGGAACTGGTTCAGACTGCAGGGCTGGAAAGAAAAGGGCGAGTCCACACAAAGCTCCTCATCTGAATTGTCCCCACACTCGTTCATGGAGTTGCAGCGCCACCAGTCTGGGATGCATTTCCCATTAGAGCAGTGGAACTGGTCCACATCACAGCTGGATGCATCTGACTTACCTGCAACCACAAGGTATTCCTGATTAACTTTTGGATCTGTGGCAACAATTCTTTGTGTTATCTTTCACTTACCTTACCCCTAATCCACACTGAATTAATTTTTAGATGTGTTTTCTACATGCTGCAAACAGAGCCCCATTTTAAATTTAGGGGCACAGTCAAATATTTAGAGTCACAGTTACTTATACATTTTTTAAGTACTTTATTTTCCTAATGCATATTCTTTTTCTTTTCTTGTTCTCTGTCTTATCTTGTCTACTCATTGCCCTATGGAGGAGTCAGAGTCCTCATGTGTTCAACACACCTGGTCAGTAAAACCTATTCCGATACTTTTTTAAAAAAAGAATGTGAACACGTTTTATAAACATTTCACATTAAAAAGACTGTTTGCATAATTCACATGGGCAAATTGATTTAAAAATAAAATAAACACTAAGAATCTTTAGATGCTGCATGAACACGTACCAATTACTGTTCTGTGCACATGAACCGCTGCTGGCCATTATTATCAACGCAGTTAGCTTTTAGCCTCAGGAGCGCAATCGTTAACGTACCGGCAGTGGATGGGAGTCTGTGGGCAAAGCTGAAATGATCGCTGCTCTGCAAGTTTATGCTCCTTTAGGTGTTTAGATAAATTGCTCTGACTGGCTTTTTACTCGCTGAAGTTTTAGTGCACGTACAGTAAAGCAGAGGTGTTTTCACCTCGAAGGTGCCAACTCAGCTGATCAAAGGCTGGACTGTAACACAAAGGCTGTCAGTTCAAATACCAACAGCACTGAGAAACCTGTGAATCAGCCTGAGGAACCTGAACCTCCCACGGTACAGTGCTCCAGGCTGTAAGAAGTCCTCCATCCTCACCAGTGATGTAGGACAGCCTGAAGCCTTTTCCTGTCAGACTGTTATCAGAGTGAAAGTGGATCCAGACATGGTCCTGTGTAGAGATGTAGGGTGGGGGCAGGGAGGAACCACAGACCCTCAGCCCATCCAGGCTCCTGTAGCTACTGATGGACATCCAGTCTGAGGAGCACCGATGGGAACCCTGCAGGTCAAAGTCCTGGAAACTACAGGAGAAGACACGGGGACACTGACTAAAAACAAAACTCTAAACAAATTTCAACAACTTTCAGCTGACTGGCACTGAACTCTGTAGCCAGTCCAAAGACATGCAGGTTAGGTTGACTGCTGACTCTAAACTGTCTGTAGTCTGTCTCTGTGTGTCAGCCCTATGATAGACAGGACCAGTGTTCACTGCCTCTCGCCCAGTGCCAGCTGAGACTGGCCCCAGCACCTCCATGACCCTCTATAGATAAGAGCTTTAGATGATGGACAGATGGATATTTAGCCACACTGTTATGGACATGTTGAGGGCATTGCCATGTGTCCAGAGAACAACATATTTAAAATGATTCCTGGTGCTATAACCATGAGAAGAGTCCATGTGTGCTACCTGATGGTGATGGTGTCTCCTGGCCGGGCTCTGATGTTCCAGCTGCAGTTCAGTCTGGCTGGATACTGAAAGGGCCACCCAGGGGTGGTGATGATGCCGCTGGATGCCCGCAGGAGCTCGGCCACATCTCCACAAGCTGACGGACAAACACAGACAGCGTCAGGTTCACAGTGCAGATGTTTAGTTTGTGCTGACTTTGTGTTTCACATCACTGATTTGCCAGCAGCGTGGCTGTGACCTCACCATTAGAAATCCCTGACACATAGACGTTGTCATTCCTCTGAGAGGCAGCGATGCATCCTGCGACATGAATGCACAAATAATTAACAGGACTGAAACCAGAGGCAAGCCAACACTGAAACTGAGAAATGAACTACCATGTTCAGGACAGATCATGTGTTTTAACTGTTTTGCTTGATTTTGATAGAGTCCTGGTTAAAACCAGGGAGCTTTCATTGTCTTGGTGGATTCTCTGGAGCGTTTTACGCAACCTGGCTCAGAAAAAAATAGACCTGTCAGTTGTGTGACATACATTTAAAAAACGGGCCCACTCAAATACAGGACTGTACTTCTACATATGGATCAGAAACAGATTGGCTCTGTGCTGGCATAGATACCGATCCTGTCAAAAATACAGTACCTTGATCAGCACCGATACTTAGTATCAGATCAGGACATCTCTATTTATTAATTCTAAAAAATCATTGCCATCTTATGGGAAATGATAAGCAAAAGCTGGCTGTTTTTAGTTACATTAGCTTAATTTTGAATTGAACATGAATTTAAAAAAAAGGTCAATGCGAAGGCTGCAGCTGCTCAAACAAGGTTTTGCTGCTTTTTTGTTTTCTTATAGTAAACATACTTTACTCTTTAAATTCTAGACAACATCTGAGGACATCAGCTCTGAGAAAATGTATTGGACATTTTTACTGATTTCTGATCTTAAGAAACTGAATAATTAATGGAAGATAAATCAATACTAAGATAATCATTTCATTTCGATCAGTTTAAGGTTAACTTGCTCTGACTAATCGATGAATGCACTAATCCTTTCAGATCTACATTGTCTGGGTGTGACAGCTGATCCAGAGTCGGAGAACTCACCTGACAGTATGAGCAGGTAGACGCATGCTGAGCCTGGTCTGAGAGCCATAATCGCCCTGGTGTCTCTACCAGCTTACTCTAGTTATGATGCTGATGATGAAGGTCAGTACAATGACAGCTGCATATCAGCAACAAATCAAACCAAACTCTGAAATCTAACCGAAATCAACTGTCAGGTCACAGAAATAAACTGAAGCAGGATCTCCGATCTAGGATAAATGATCTTAGGTTTACACCCGCTACACCAACAAACCTAAAACCTTTGACAGTCTAGTCTAACCCTCTAACTATGCTAACAGAGCTAACCTGCCCTCACATCATAAACAGCCTGCTGCGGATGAAACAAAGACATCGGACTCCGTTAGCTCGGACTAGCCGTGGGCTACAAACAGCCGAACCGTTAACGGAACATTTCACCACAGGAACAACCTCTGTTGTCTGACCACCGCGAGACATGACGGGAACAACTCGGTCGGTATATGTGTCAAAATAACACAAGTAACAGGTTGGTTGACTACAACAGCAGTAAAGTTAACAGCCGGAGCCCGGCTAATGAGACTAACGTTAATAACACTGGCTGGTTAACTGGAACATGCTAACGGAGCTGAACGGCTACCTAGCCCATCCTCCTCCTGCACAACAACCAAGACATAACGCTACAGCCCAGCACCAGACAGCTAACCCGGATTAAAAAGAGCTAACCCGTTCTGACTAGCAGAAC